CCATTAATCCCGAGTTATATGATCACGGAGGCAGCTCGGCAGCTCTATTGTGCAGTTCTCTAGAGCTGGCTGCGACACGAGTCGCGGGTCCAGCCGGCCGGACCGACCCCCCGACCCCGACCGTCCACCAAGACCCGGCCAAACCACGGTCAAGTTTCAAACGGCACCTTAAGGCCCGCTGGCCGCTGCCGCAGCCGAATTTCGATTACTGTCCCCAACAACAAAACGAACCTGGGCCCTGCTTCCCCGACCTGTTGTTGCCTCTTTGTTACAGGACCATTATCTTTTGCTCCACTGTCCGGTCCGGCTCCGGTGGCGGCGCGGGGTACAGTAACGCGAACCGCTCCAGATCGCTCCTATCCGGACGGCTCCGGACTCCGGGCTGGGCATGGGAAGGCGTGGCAGCAGAACAGACCTGCTGTGCCGTCATCGGCCTGCCCTACCCTGCCCCGCCCCACCGTCATTCATTCGTGGTAAGTCATTGTCCTCCAGGCTCCACGGGGCACCAGACGGAACGCCGGCGCCGGGCCGAGCTGCTCGCGGGTGGAGACAATGCTTTGTGCACTCGACTTAATTGTGCACAAATGTTGAAGACTCGGCCACAAGTGAGCAGGGCCAAGGGGTGCTCCCCCCCCCCCACCTCCTCACTCAAACATGGCAGAAGCGCGCTGGACTCCCCTCCAGACAGACAATGCGGGTAACTGATGGCGCCAAATGAAAGAACCACCCACTGGAACAGCTCCCGGAGTGTTTCGCACGGCGTGAGTACCGCACAGCGGGGCGGTGGGCGGTGGGGGTGTGAGCGGTGAGAGCGCGCTCAGACAGAAGCGCCCCTTGTTGTGTACTCCAACACGGCCTAACACGGCCCGACGCAGAGGTGAGGTGAGGAGGCGTGCGGGTGCCGCGACCACGGCGCGGGCCGGGCCTGGCGGGCCGCGAGGACAGTGACAGTGCGGCGCCGCAGCCAGTTAAGACCTCACGGTTCAGCCCCTCTCCTTCCCCCGCCCCTCATCCTTCCTCAGCGACAGCTAGCGAGGCGGAGCGAACAAGTCCATCATCAGGCACGGGGACGGACGACGACGTCGCCCGACGACAACGCCAGACATTTTCCTGAGAGATTTCAACGCACGACTGAGTCGGCAGCGAACACTACTGTTGGCGGGGTGGGACCCAGCGGCGCGCGGCGGCGAGTGCGACGGCCCGGCTAAACGATTTTCCAGTGATTTATGTCTGACGTTGGCCGGCTACCGCTGCAGCGGCAGATCGACACAGGAATATTACATGCAGTACCAGCACCGGAGAGAAGACCTGCGCCTCTTCAGACAACTCACGTTTGAGAGGTGGCGATGACTGTCGACCGCGGATGTCCACTGCATGGTCCTCGGGGTGCAGGGCGCACTCGACTCACAAGAGCACAGTCACAATGTCACTCGCCAACGCCACTGCGGTCAACACTGCATCCTGGTCGCTAGCTGGCAGTCAGGCCCGCGTCCCGTCCCGGCCCGGCGCGCTCGTGTCACTCACTTCCCCGGCAGGGAGGGACCAGGGGCCGGTCGGCTCCAGCGGAACACGTCGTCGTCGACCAAACGCCACGGCAACGAAGCCGGTCCGGGCCAAGATCCACTGGACGACACAGACGAGCTCGAGGTTGCGACTGAGAAGGGCCGGGCGCGCGCTGAGGTCCACTCCGTGCGGGGACCCCGCGGCGCCGGGCGGGCCAGGCCGCGCCGTGTCGTGCCGCCGGCCCGGAGCCCCGGAGCGGCGCGGGGCGCGGAGGCGCGGGGCTTAGGTGAGGCGGGGAGGCCCGGGGACGTGCGGGGAATGGCGGCAGGCGGCAGGAGCGCTCCTGATGCCGGTGCGACGCCTCCCCGGCCCAGCCCATCCCGTCGAGTTCGAGTCACTGACCGGGAAGAGCTCTGCCAAGCTCTCATCTCTCATGGCGGGGCGGGCTAGAGTGTAGGGCGCAACCAACGCCTGAGCACCGGGCTGAGCACGCAAGACCATCCAAGCTCTTAGACTCTAAAGAAAACGTTTGTCCCTTTTCTGAAATGGTATGGCGGAAGGAAAATAATATGGGAAAAAGTAAACCCGGATGTTTCAATCAACATCAGTTTAATGTACATACTTAAAACTTTTAAAATCACATTCATTCACTTCAGGTAGCTTTGCTGTAACCACAACAAGGACATTGGTCATGTCATATCCAGACACACAGACAAAAAAATAAATAATTTTAACAAGCACAAACACATCTTTTTTTCTCTGGAACAGGCTGCACCTGCACCACATACTGTCTATGTATGACACTCTTTTAAGAATCAGGCAACTGAAAGTAATCATGTGTGAAAAGGGGAACAATCTACATTTAAGTGCTTAGATTAACTTAGTACTAGTCATTATGCCTGTTTACTTTATAGCTATGTTTATGCTTTTGTGATAGCAAGCAGCCAGTGTTTTTCTTCTTTTATTTTATTTTCAAATTTAGGCAAAGAGTGACTTCTATACTATTTGAATTACAGAATTCTCCTTCATGAATTGAGAATTAGCTTTGCTTTAGTTTCTGATTAGTTTACTCCGGAATAAGTAGCTGATGATATTCAGTCAACATGCAGATCGCACAGTGATCAGATGTAACACTGGAACAAATACTGAATGAATGCATGTGGTTGCTATCACTATGCAAAGCTTTTGAAGCTATAAAGTGGACATGGTAAACTACATTATGTTTGTTATTTCAGTCTCATAGACCACATATTTGAAGATGTCCTGAATTATAATAATAATTACAGGAGGGACTCCAAAACCACTTCCACAGAGCATTGAGAGAGGACTTGTGCAATTTTTAGAGACATTAATACAAAAGGAAAATAAACAATACTTCAATAAATTAACAGCACAAATCTTTGCATCTTAGTTCTTTCTGAAAATGTTAAGGAATAGAACGCATGATTTCTATTGACGACCCAAAAACAAAAGTTTGCTTCAAAGAGGACTTAAACCAAAGTAACAGAGCTAACATTCGTATAGGAACTCAACAATCACTAAATCAGCATAAATACCCTCCCATTAAATGTTACAAAGCCGCATCAAAATAAAACACTTGCCAGTCCAGCTGACATGATACTCATAAAAACTCCTTTGATACAAACCAAGTGCCCAATAAACATCAACTAAAATTTTTGCAAAGAAGACATTTAAAGAGCCTATAGATAAAACAGGTGAAACTACGCTTCAAACAATTTGAAGCATGGGCACAAGTTCACAATACGATGGATAACTAAAAAGTACTTGAGCTGATCGGAACTAGATGATAATGTTTAGATGCCTGTGGCATCTTCAAGAAGAGCATTCAGTTCTTTCAAATGCTGAGCCTTACTGCCAGTTGCTGGTGATGCAGCAGTTGGACGTCCGCAGTAGCTGAAACAGTTATTAGATCATTAAAATGCAGACAAAACTATCGTTGCTAAGCTTCATAAAATTAACTGATGGGATGGCATATCAAAACCACGGGTTAGGTTAGTTCGTATCACTCCACAAACACACACACACAGGTAGTGCTAACACCCCATTATCAGTGAAAAAACGTGAGCAAATTAGAGAAAAGACCCACCACACAAAAAACACCACTTAAAAAACACCACTTGTGATAAGGTAACATTCAATCTAGCAGACTTCAATTTTAAGACTCCAAGTTCTCACAAGTGTTATTAGGAGAATTAATGTGCTGGTATACCAGAAACTGCCAGCCAGCCAGGCAATCTTACCAAAGATTCTACCAAGCAAATTAAATTTGTACAAAGCAAAATGTCCATCAAGTTGCAATTGACTGCCATGATCACCAAAAAATTTGTACCTGCTTACTATAGAGCTAAGGCTCTTTGGGCTTGTTTGTTTAATAAATTAAAAAAATATGATATGTAAAATGAAATATGAAAAAATGTGATGGTAAAGAAACCTTACATATAGTAACCAACCACACATTGAGATGCCAACACACATACACACAAAAGCAAAGCTTATCTCACATAGAACTCATGTTAGTCAAACACAGATATACATTTGAAAACATGCGTTAGGGTGTAATATATTTTCACCACACATGCACCCTAGGCTGAGAAAGGTATGAAAATTGCAGATTGAAAATTACTTGTCCAAAATCAAGAAATGTACTACACCCCAAAATTATGAAACAGTCAATTTGCTCATAATGTCAAAAGAAACTTTTCAATTTAAGTTGATTCATGAAATTTTGCTTATTAACAAGCTAAAGATAAAAATATGTATGCAAGTCTGAATGGCTTGGTACATTTTCTCATTCAATCCTAGATAGAAAAGGAGTAGGAGAGAATGGTTTAAAACTGAAATAAATGCATTGACAGTCATTATTCAATAATGATCAACACTGTAGAACTCAAAATCAACAGCTGTCATCCTTCTGCTAAGAACATGGTAAAATATAGAATTCTACATACTACATTTCAAAGCTGTCACTCTAGATGTAAAAGAAAGTATAAAAGTGAAGTACACAAGCACATTATTGACTTTACAATGATCCTCACTCCTCACCTAATGGTTCGAACATTTGATGGGAGAGAGGAAGTCTGCGTCTCAGGCTGCAATCCAGCCTGAGACGAAGACTTGGCAGAAGCCTGCCTCTCTTGTTCGTCTGCACCAAACAGGCGTCTTAACAACCCCCCTTGTTCCTGAGCACGACCGCCCGGGACCTCGACGGGTCCACTGAGTTCTCTGTAACAAACACAACCACTCACACCATGCCACACTACAAATACATGCAAAGGTGGCTGGATGAAAGGCACCGCTGGGTTGAAAGAAAAACCTCAGAGGAATGTCTCACACCACAGCGGCAGGCTTAAAACAAAACAGATGAAGGGGGTGACAGACGAAAATAAGAGCAGGCTGATTAGTACAAGAGGGAAGATTAAACAGGAGCAAACTAGGCAAAGGAAAATATATAAAGTGAAATGAGTGGGTGTATAATAGAAAGATAAAGTGTTTAAATCAAAAGGTCAACAGAGGGTTGACATCTAATTTGAACGCATTTTAGAACAAGAGAGAAGACTCATGAGCAGGCTTCACTTTGCACACAAATCTCTGTAAAATTAAGTCATCTGAAAAATAAAATTTTAGTAGTTTAGGACAGCAACTAGAAGGATATGGAGTAGACTGCCAATAAAAACCAAACAAAATTACATGCTTTTTGAATCCCACACATCTTGCAACTACATACCAACAAAAACAAAAGCAAGTTAGGTTTGTAGACTTACGTTACAGGCCGTCCTCCATTCAGAGTTGTCTGGAATCTACTCTGAACATAATACCAAGCTCCCTGGTTTTTGTGTTCTTCCTGTGCCCAGACCAGCTGAGCATCAGGGTACTTAGCACATTCCTTCTTGATCAAATCATATGGGAAAGGAGAAATCTTAACAGAAAAACAAAAGAAATGTTTAAAATGACAAATTTACATTTTAATATAATCAACTGTGTACTAAATTTCCAACGAAAGTGTCTTTTTTACCTGCTCAACTCTAACAAGAGCTATCTTATCTTCCAGGTTTTTATCAGTGCGTGCTTTCTTGATGTCATAGTAAACTTTTCCAGAGCAGAAGACAACTTTCTTAACTCCAGAGGGATTTGTACCAGCAGGACCTTCGTCAGGAATGATCCTGTACAAAGAGGATTAGATTGATTGTAGGCTTGTTAAACATGTACCACAAAAATACACAAAAAATTGAAACTCACCTCAAAAATTCAGTGCCTTCATTCATAAGATCAAAGCTAGATCGTGCTTCAGGATGACGAAGAAGTGACTTTGGTGTCATTAAAATCAGTGGCTTGCGGAAAGGCAGAGCAATTTGTCTTCGCAAGATGTGGAATAAGTTGGCAGGGGTTGAACAATTAGCCACCTGACATACAATAAAAAAGTAAGTACCCAATGGGGTCAGCTATCAAATAAGAAAGATAGGTACTTCTGAAGACTCACAATCCAGTTGATATCGTGCAGCTGCCTCACAGCAAACTCATCACTCTCTGGAGGGAAGTAATCAGGATCATCAGCAGACATTTGGAGGAATCGTTCTAGCCTAGCACTAGAGTGCTCAGGACCCATGCCTTCCATTCCATGAGGAAGAAGCATAACCAAGCCAGACTGACGAACCCATTTTGCCTGACCAGAGGAAACAAACTGATCAATGATACACTGGGCTGTGTTGTTGAAGTCACCAAACTGAGCTTCCCAGCAGACTAGGGCATTAGGGTTAGTCATGGAAAACCCTAATTCAAATCCTAAAATGGAAAACAAAATTTAAGGATAAGTATAACCCAGAGAGCACATCTAATAATTGATAGAAATAAGATACAGAATTCTTACCAAGAACACCATATTCAGATAGGGAACTGTTACACACGGTGTAAGGAGCCTGATCAGGGTAAAGGTGACAAAGTGGGCGGTATGTAGCTTTATCAACAGTCTGGTGGTGAAGAACATGGTGCCTGTGGGAGAAAGTTCCACGCTCCACATCTTGGCCACTGAGACGTACATGAATACCCTCTTTAAGCAGAGAACCAATTGCCATAGCCTCACCAAGTGCCCAGTCAACTGTACGATTTTCAACCATTTCCATGCGAGCCTTCAAAATACGCTCAATGCCTAATGAAACAAAAATGGGAAACTTGAGTTATAGATTTTAATGCAGGCTTTTAAACAATAAAATAGAATGTGGACTCTTTACCTTTATGAACAAGGAATTCAGCAGCATTGGGTGGTGGGGAAGAGAATCGCTTTCCGATGTGAACAAGAGTGTCTTCTTTGATACCAGTTGCAGACATTTTCAATGGGTCCTTGCCCTCAAAGAAGCCTGACCATGGTGAGTCAAGCCAGTCTTTGTACTTAATGTGAGTTTCTTTACGGGCTGCAGCATAAGATTCTTCACAAATCTTCTCATATTTTTCCTTGACATCCTGCA